AGCACGCATGAACCAGCACGAGCATGGAAATCTGGATGGGCAACTCTGTCGCAGACCCTGGGAGATTTGCTGCTGTTCCTGCTATCTGCTAGTTGCCGTGCAGGCAACCTCTCTGCTGCTGAAGCCTGGTTCGGAAGGTTCAGCTCAGCCTGGTGCTTGGTTCACTCAAGGTCGAGGGCTCCAGTACCACGGGCTCGCCTTGCAGCAGAGACGGACCCTTCATGCACTGCGCCTGCATGCCAGATATCAAGCTTGTTCTGATCACCGTCCTTGTTTCTTCTGGCTCCTTCAGATTCAGGCCCACTCCTTCCGAGTGCAGCCCGACGTGGGCAGCTCAGGTTTGAGCATTGATCAGGTTGTACGATCGATGAAAGGAGCTAGACGGTTTAGTAGCAAAGTCCAGGAAAGGCTGTCGTCGTGGCAGCATTCACATTGGCAGCAGAAGCAATAGTAGTGAGCTTGAGAAAGATCGGAACTCCAATTTTGACCCTCGATGAAATGAGCCTTCGAATAAGAACCCCCACATGAACTTTTAGTGTCAACGCGCACATTCTCGAGAGCTTCGAATTGTAGTTGCTGACACGACCTTACCCAGGTGGTGACACTCACTTCGGTGATTCGTGCAGCCGGAAAGCAGGGGGATCACTGGAGGGCCAAAGACTGGTATTGCTGCTGCCTCAGTCGTCGATGGGTTGTCCAAACGATTCATACGACCGTCGGTGCATCCAAAAGAGACGCAAAATGCGTGCGCGTTTTGACACCCAGGAGTGATGAAGAGAGAACCTCTTTGAGCTGATTTCATTCCAGTGCATGCCGGCATGTGATGTGCAGTAGTGACTCTGGTTTCGGCATGTCGTGATATTGATGGCGCACAAATGAACTGGCCCCGAAGATGGGGCCAACGACCGCATTGCACACTCGGAGGTGCGGCACCTTACCTGCGCATCCAGCCCAACACAGCGTGGGCCTTGGGCGCCAGCTCGGGATATCTTCGCTGAACTACTGTCGGGCCTGGGGCGAAATACCGAGCCTTGCTTGCTTGTAGCACTTTGCTGCAGCCACTCAGCGATTTGTTGCCATTGGGTCCAAGGCTAAAGGTTTGGTGCGCAGGGGCTCAAGCTGAGCCGGTTGTGTCCAAACAACCTGTCGCAAACCATGTGGAAGGCAATGCCACAAGGGACAAGAGCACCCGCTGAGATTGTAATCCGGAGCTCGAGCCTCCGGGCCTTCTCGACGACAGCTGTATATGACCCTGTTGTAAAGCTGTGCAACCAGCATGTATACCTTGAAGGTGACCCACGCCTGCCTCTTGCACGCTTTGCGGCAGAACATTTCGGCCTGGGTCTCTGCAGTTTTTAGTTCTGGAAATATGTTCGCATGTGCGTATGTACATACGTACATACATTACATGTGTACATGCTACATGCATACATGCATGATGCATACTTGCATGCATGCATGCATGATGCAGGCATACCTACCTACCTACGTACGTACATACATACGCACGTACACACACGCACACACCCCTACGCTCCTAATTGATAGATAGATAGATAGATAGACAGATATATATACATATAGATAGATAGATAGATAGATAGATAGATAGATAGGTATACACATAAACATATGTGTATATGTATATGTGAACACATACATACTGCAGGCAACGCAAGTTGCAGCTGAATATGACTTGGGTTGTAGTGGTGCAGCTTTAGGATTTTGGAGCAGGCAATTAGGGTTGCAGGCAGGCAGGCAGGTAGTGAGGTGGGCAACTAACTAGCAAACTAGACAACTAACTAGCAAGCTAGCTAACCAGCTCACGAACTAACTGGCTGGCTCGGTTTCTATCTTGGTGAGTGGCTAACTCACTAGTTAACTTTCCTGCTTATAAAAATTTCAACTTCGATGAGCCTTTGAGGATCAACTGCCAGGCTCAGAAATCCGTGCCCGAGCTACCCTGAACTTGTCGGGGTGCTTCCGGATTTATGGAGTTGGGGCTGCAGATTCCTAGATTTAAGGCTTTAGCACAAACCTGACTTCAGCTGCTCGCCGTTTGAAGCTAAGCCAATCTGAGCATGTGAGGGGTTTGAGTAATTCCTTCTAGCCTCTGTATTGCAAGTCATATATACTCCAAAAAACCTATTCCAAATATGACGGCTCCTCTAAGCTAGTAAGCTTTCTCCAAGGCTAAGGCAAGCCTTCGGGAGGGGACCCGAACAAGCTATAATTACATTCTGATAAAGCTAAAAAGCACTTCTGCATGCATCAATTCTATATGTATATGCGCAGACACACATGCACATATAAGTATGTGTGTGTGTATATATATATACACAGATAGATAGATAGATCGATGGGTATGTAGATGGAAAATAGATACAGATATACTTAAGTGATGGCAGTGTTTCGTTTATAAGTACTGGTGGTAATTCGCAATCTACTCCTTCTATTCAACAGAAGCCTCTGGCTTCCATGCTTGTCGTTTGTCTGCTGGACAGATTTAGGGTTTTGGGGGGTTTAGGGTTTAGGTTTTTTGTGGGTTTAGGGTTTAGGGTTTACCCTGCGGGCAGGCCGTGCAGGAGTGGTTCGACATCGGCATCCGCGATGGGATCCAGCCGAATGCCTGCCGCCCAGAACTTCTTGCTAGTAAGCTCGCTATGCATGCACCTGCCTGGCTGTGTGCCTTTGTGTGTACAAATATGTATGCCTTTAAGGAAGTATGTATGTGCGTATGTATGTATGTATGTGTAATCATGCGCACGTGTATGTGTACGTCTGCGTGCATGTAGAGGTGGGGTGGTAGCTGGTGAATTCGGTGAGTGGAGCTCGAATTGCACGGCCGAGTGCTCGTCCGATGTAGACCGGTCAAGTGTGGTTGACCGGCATCATTACAGTACAAGTTGCAGCAAAGTCGAAAACGGTTGTTCGAATTCAACCGTCAACAATTGGAAGCCGTCAGGGTCAGTGGATTAAGTGGCCACTGGTCATGCAGTATAGGTCGCAGGCCTGAGAAAGCCAGCCCTTTCAAGCCCGACAAAGAACAGGAGAGCAGCGACGTGAGAGATCCAGAAATTGCATTCGAGATATTGCTAGCGCGAAGAGAAGAGTCCAGAATGGGACTAGATTTCGATTCCTTTTAATGCCCTTTTGGTGTTGCAGCAATCAGTAGCAACATGTCTGTGGACATTTGTAGATATGCAGAAGATCAGAAAGTTCCCCCGCAAAGATTAAAACCTCGACATTATTGCCTGAAGCTCGAACCAGCTCATGAACCCACATAACACACTATCAACCACCTTAGGACTTTGAGTTTGCCCTAAGCGCGTTGTGGAACCACTTTGTCTGCAGACCTTGCCTGGCTTGTCCGAGTCCGAGTGTCCAAAAAGTCCCGAAGCCCAAAGCGCTAGGTTGTCACGTACAACACAGTGATTGACGCCATGGCCTGGGCCGCAGGAATATGGAGCAAGTTCACCGTCTTGCGGCTTCAGGGCTTGATCCTCTAAGGCTCTAAGGGCTATACTATGAAGGGCTGCCATGAGGGTTAAGGGGGTTTGGGAGTTCCCTTCTGCCAGGATTCCATAGGGGTTTGTCCGGCAGGAAAGGCACGTTGAAAAGGTTCAGGGTTTAGAATTGAGGTGTTTGGGCTCGAGAGTTTCGCGGTGAGTTCAGGAGTTCCGGGTTCTCAGTGCTTACCTGGCCGGGCGAGCTAAAAAGTCCGTGAGGGTTCAAGGAGGGAACTCGCAAGGTTCAGGTGGCGGCATCTCAGGTTCACTTTGTGAAGGCTTGTAAGCCTTGGAAACAAGGTGTCAAAGTCATCAGCATATATGCACAGCTACGCTGTGCTCCTTGATGGGGATATTCATGTATACCATATATATATACACATATTTAATATGCAAGTATGTGTAAAGAGGGAGTTTGGAAACCGTAAGTGCTCTTGATTAAATGGGTTCCCAAGTATTGGGGCCGATTGCAGGCTGACCCTCACGCTCATCGAACCAGCTCCGTAGAATTTTGGCGCAATTTGTTTTAGGATCCGTTCGTCTGCAGACGGCAAATAGCCCCGATGCCTACAAAGTGCGTGGAGTCCCTGTAGACCTCCAGACTCTAAGGCGCCGAAACCGTAGGCCGGGCTCGACCCAACCACCCCGAACCCCTTGTGTAGCCCCACAAGCAGACCTTGAATTACACCTCAGGCCCGCGCGGGCCGCATGGATCTAGCAGAGCGCTTCTTCAAGCAACGCGGCACAAGCATGGGCCGTGTCGCTTCAGTTTTTCGAGGTTTGAATTATGGCTGCCCAAGACGAAGACTACAACATGACATTTTCAAGGCACCATATCCCAAACATGGATGGGTTTTAACAGCTTTTTTGTCTCCGAGAACTTTGAGTTCTCAGCAGCTGTATCGTGCTTCGGCGGGGGTTTTCTTAAGAGAGTGTGGGGGTCCTTGCTGAAGACTGTTTCACAGGATTCTCCGGGCCAAGTAGAAACTATAGGCAGGACAAGGCTTTTCCCATTTCTATCCTGGACGCGAGACCTGGGGTCGCGAATATCCCAGTCTGTTGGCGGCCTTCATTACATAAGGTGCCAGAAGCCATATCAGCATACAGACGGCAGATGCAACATTATTGATTACTGTATATGCGCGAGAGACAGAGGGTGACCGGCAAAATTGCAAGAGCGCAGAGACACGGGCACGTGCATATATTCATACATGCAGACCTGCAGGAGTCGTGTGAATCCACCCTCTGTTTCTGGCTCAATTGTCAAGCCAGTCTTGTGTTCCACAGGTCAAGGGCTTCTGGTTCATGACTGTGACTGACTTAAGTTCAACCAAGAAAGCTGCAGATTACATCGCCTTCGATTCAGGACATCGTACACGCAGCGAGAGCGCACGCCATCGTACTTCGTATCTCAGCCCCAGCTAGAAAAGCCTGAATGTAGGTAGGAACCCAGGCCGGTTCGCGGATGCAGTCTTAGATAGTCAGAGGGCCATGGAGGAGGAACGGGAAGCTTTGGAGGCCGTCTACGACACCGACTTTGAGGCCACTGTGTTGACAAGACGAGATGTATCTGGGATCCTAGATTGGGGCATGCCTTGCATGCTGTTCGATGAATTTGAGCAGGGGCTCCAGTTCTATTTGACAGATATTTGGCCTGTTTCCTGTTGCGGCGCTGTGCGGGAGGTTTTGCTACATCGGTAGGCTCGAACTACACAGCAGAACCAAGTTTTGCTTTATGGTTTGCCAATTCAACGATGTTCTATACTAGGTTCTAGATTGTAAGAGAGAGAGAGAGAGAGAGA